TCAACAAATTTTCTTGCCTACAAGGAATATTACACTCAGTTTCCTCTTATGCCTTTACTAATATGCTTGAATTTTGCACAGATATGCAACACCATTTGGATTGACCTCTGAATATGCTCACCCTGCTGAGATTCTATTTCTTGGTTTTGCTACAATAGTTGGTCCTGCCATCACTGGTCCCCATCTGATAACATTGTGGCTGTGGATGGTTCTTAGAGTCCTTGAAACTGTTGAGGCACATTGTGGATATCATTTTCCATGGAGTCTCTCAAACTTCTTGCCTTTATATGGGGGGTATGTTCTCCTTTGCATCTTTTTCTGGTCCGTAATTTTTTTACGTTTCTAAGTCAACTTCATGTTATGCAATTTCTTTGTGGATGATTTCCAGTGCTGATTTTCATGACTATCATCACCGCTTGCTTTACACAAAGAGTGGCAACTATTCATCAACTTTTGTTTACATGGACTGGTAAGGATGTTTATGCACTGTTTTTCTGAAATGCGCTCATCTTATTTGCTAAGTGCACTATCAATGCTTTCACCACTTTTGGCAAATCACGGTCTATGATGAATCATATGACATGTAACCAATGATGAAAGCTAGAAAAGTAATAATCCAGTGGGTGTGTACTGGTGGGATGATGATCTGTCTGAGAGGACCACTTGGCACAATTTTTTCTACTTATCACAAATACTTCATTGAGGAAGGATAAATGAAGGGGCAAAAGGCCATCCTTATCACAATTTTTTATTTGTCAATGTAATCTTTCAGTAACTCTAAAATACCTGGTTACAAGGTTAGTGGACCCAAATTCCCAAAATGTACATCAACTTTAACAGATTTGTTACTCAAACGCCGTCCTTATTGAATAATGCTTATGAAGAGGTAGTGAAAAAGCCTATTATTATGAGAATTCATTGTGTAGGTAGATTCTAACTTCTTTGTACCTTTCTAGGATATTTGGTACTGACAAAGGTTACAGAAAACTAAAGGAGCTGAAGAGCGTAGGAAACGAGACAACGGTTAAGGCAACGTAAGAAAGGATGGCCCACGGGTTAGTGGTATTGGAGCATCGTTTTGAACCGGTCTTAATTTGGTTCTTATGCAACTGTATTTTTTGTGTCTGATTGCTGTTATAGATAGCTTGTCATGATGTGTCCTCACCAGTAACCCACATACTAAT